CCCCAAAACCCCAAAACCCCAAAACCCCAAAACCCCTAAAAGATCAGGCAAATTGAATAGTTTAGAGTAATTACTTGGAATCTTTTACCAGTCTAAAAATATGTCAATCTTTGGATGAATTGATGGACAATTATGCTTATTTAGCATCGATTTTTCTAAAACTTGGAAGTTTGTGGTCATGTCTGAAGCGCTTGTATCTGGGATCATAGGAGGAGAAAGTCTATTTGAATACGAGAGAGTTGAAGTCAAAGTCTTGGAAAAATTTGTGTTTCATCACTTTTTTAGCTTTACATTTCCTCTTTTTGGGGTCTTTCCTCAGAAGAGAAACTATGAGCTTCATAACTTCCATATCTAAGCCCCTAGGAAAAGAAACCTCCCCATATTTGATATTCTCAAAGATCTCCATCTGGCTTGATCCTGTGAAGGGAGGCACTCCGACTTGCATTTCATAGAGAATAATCCCAAAGGACCACCAGTCAGCTTCGAGTCCATAGCCTGTTCTATCCAGGACTTCTGGAGCCATGTAATCTGGAGTCCCACAAGCAGTTTTGGTTTTACCAAAGCAGTTTCTTTCTTTCGGAAGTTTCTTGCTTAGTCCAAAATCAATAAACTTAAGATATCCTGTATGGTCAAGCAGGAGATTTTCTGGCTTCAAATCGCGATAAAGAATTCCTTGAGAATGAAGATAATGCAGAGTCATTACTATCTGTGCTGCATAAAACCTCGTACAAGTTAGGTCAAGCACTGTATTCTGCTTGAGATAGGTAAGGAATTCTCCTCCTCTGATAAACTCTTGAACAAAGTAAATGCATTTATCATCTTGAGAGAAAGACTCAAATCTGACGATGAAAGGATGATTAACCATCTGCAGTATTTCTTTCTCATTCTTTGCATGGTCTCATTGCTTATCTTGAATCAAACTTAGCTTAGACATAGTCTTTACAGCATAACTCTGACTAGTATCTTTATGAATGGCATGACGGACAGAACCCCAGCCGCCCTCTCCGATGATTCTACCTATCTCAAGGTCTTCTATCCTCGCTCTAGAATAGTTTAGAGAATATTTTGAACAAAATAATTGAATGCGAGACTACCAAACTTTCTATTGTAAATAAAGTCTATCTAGTGCAGTTGAGCAATGAGTGAACCAAATTTCAAAACACTTTAAATTCGAGGCTTAAGAGCTTGGTCTTTCACAAGGTGAGCACTTACACTTTCTCACAGCATGGAGAGAAATCGAGATCGCCATCTAAAGAGTCTGGGTGAGTGGATGCTATATCAAGGTCAGAAATCTCAACTTCTACTGTAAATACTTTCTCAAAAAGTTCCTCAAAGTGAGTAAAGTTAGTTGATAGGAATATTTTACAGCTTTATGTGAAGGAAGTCTCTTATAAGGAAAACAGCAGCACTGCTTTTCCATGAAGCTTCAAAGACCATGACTGAGCCATTATAGCCTAAAAAGATGCAAAGGGTAGTTAAATAACTCTTAAAGAGGTTTCAAGGGTCTATTCTCATGAGGTGCCGGCTTAGACATCGATGGATATTAGCCTAATGCCTGGAGGTCCTTTATAGAACAAATTTGTCTCATTATTGGATGTAAAGAAGCTATTCCTTACCTGTATCAATTTTGAGAGGCCTTTTATGCATCTTTTAGACTAAGTGAAATTAAATATGATTATTGGTAATTCTATATTCTGACGAGTTTTAGGGGTTTTGGGGTTTTGGGGTTTTGGGGTTTTGGGGTTTTGGGGTTTTGGGG